CCCAGAATTCCTCAGCCAGCTGGCTGAGGAATTCTGGGAGTTGAAGTCCACAAGTCTTAAAGTTGCCAAGGTTGGACACCCCTGCTCTAGAGTCTAGACTTTAGATTTATATCTGATATCACCAAGGCCCTTCAACCTTAATCATTATAGCAGCTGCCAATACTGCCAGAGAAAAGATCTACTGGAGCCATCCTGCTATGGAATCTGTGGAACTTTTTATTTATTTATTTAGGAGACAATAAGGAGACAGGATTATCTGTAAGCCTATGAGCAAAACTCTACATTTATTTTAAGCTCCACAAAAAGCTCAGAAATGAGCAGCGTGGTAAGTTTAATAAAGAAAACAAAATGGATCTTGCATTTCTCAGAGCTCAGTAACATTCCATACCTCTGCATTTAACTGAAATTAGCTTCTTTTAGTGCTTCTGGTGAGACTTAAAGTATCTGACAAAATCATTTATTGTTTTGAAGCATATATTCATTATTTTAAGATATGAAAAAAAAAGTTTGCAGCAAACAACTGTGGGCCATTCTCAAATAGCAGATCACCTTTACCTGTTACCTTGTACATGCAAAATGGAATGGCAATGGAATAAGGATAGGATTCTTTTTTGGCCAAGTGTGATTGAACACACGCAAGGAACTTTTTCCTTATAGTCATAAGAAGCTAAGGAAACAGGTAATAGGAAAGATGAGGACAGTAGTAATATTGCCCTATAGGTGGTTTGACATATAAGCTAATCTGGCTCCCTAAGCAGCAGGCTTTACCTTATATTACATCCTCATAACTCCACAGATTTCAAAGCCTGGTTAACATTCTCAACCTTCGGTGGAGTTGCGGCTGTAGGTGGGAATATTGGCAAGCTCAGACACAGTATATATGTTCCCTCATCTCAAATTCAATCTATAGTCACAAAGGAGATAGGTGCCTTGTCCTGTTTGGAGAGTCAGGTATTTCCGTATATAAAGAAGTTTTAAAAGAATGAAAAACAAGAGCAGAAGCTGTGAGAACTGGGTTGGGAAGAGCCAACAGCTAACACTTCTTCTCCCCAGTTTCTGATTCTATTTTGGAATCTCCAAGAATCTGAAGAAAAGCCAGGTAATTTAAAACAGATAATAGTTTATTTCTGTAGGCATAGGTAAAAATAATTAGCAGGATTCCGTATTACACTGGTGTTTATTTTTTTACTCTGTGGTGCCAATTTTTTCCATTTCTCTCCTAATTATAAATCTGAGCTTTATGTCCAATTTACATAAAACTCACACGGGTACAAGGTTATTAATTATATTAAAATACCTTTTTTTTTCTGGAATAATTTGACTCCTGTTTCAAATGCCTTGGGAGAGAATTTGTAGTAGACCAGTGCTACCGGCCCTGCAAGGTGGGCCAGACTTGAACCCCAAAGTCATGTATAGTAAAGCTACTTTTATTACAGGGTTTCCATAATAGAACCTTGCAACCATGAATGTGCCTCTCCCAACCGTGCCTTTACCCTAAAGAGGAGGGTCCAGTCTAAGCGCCTTTCTCAAATTCCATTCCTGCTCTGGACTCTTACTTGACCGTCGCCTTGGTTGCAGCTCTTCCTCAAGGTTATTCCCACAGCCCATTATGAGCACCATCTTGTGATCTGTCCAGAGCACTGCATTATCTATTTTGTAGTTTCTCTTTACTCACCCCACCTACTTGCATTTAACTATGTAAACAGGGATTTCTGTAAACTGGGATTCTTGCATTTTAAAAGTTTGATTTTGCTCATGACTTGTGAAATTGGTTTATTTCCCAAAGGAAGAGTTAAATTGTCTAGTCGCCAGAGTTTGCGTTAGAGCCTTTTTTTCGTCAGTACCTTTTAATTGCCAACTGGACAGCTCAGGTTGTGAGAGTCAGATCTTTTACCCAAAGCAAGATAAGGGAGAGGATGTCAGGGAAGTCACCGATCAGTGGTATTAACCAACCCACAACAGGAGCCAAAACCAGGGGTGAATATTCAAAGAGTTTCCAAAGGAGGTTTGAGACCTCCAACATGCCACTCTGTAGGCTGAGCCAACCTGCTACATACAGAATCTAACGAAATCGTTCTGCTGTCAGAACAATACAGTAATAAAATACCCTCTTAAGTTTCTCCCTCTATCAAAATCAGTTCTAAAGAGTTGGGAGTATTCTCTGGAACACCAAGAATAATAGTGGGAGAGAAGTCTCATTGTACCGTTATTTCGTCCCATTATTCTAAGTTTTTTCTTTTCAGCAGCATAGTGGGAGCAGAAATTATAATTATGGAAGGATTGCTCCCAGAAAATCTAGAGATTACAGATCTGAACAAGGAGAGATTTAACCTGGGAATAAGGAGGAATTTTCTGACAGTGAGAACAATCAATCAATAGAGCAGACGTTGCTTTCAGAAGTTGTGGGAGCTTCATCACCAGAGGCTTTCAAGAAGAGACTGGACTGCCATCTGTCAGAAATGGTGTAGGGTCTCCTGCTTGGGAGGGGGGTTGGACTAGATGGCCTACAAGGTCCCTTCCAACTCTGATTATCTGTTGATCTGTGACATGCTTTTGTGGGAAGTTAAGGATGGCTTTCAAGATAAGATAAGGTACTTTACACCAGTTGTCACCACCAGTCATCCGCGAGAAAATTTTGGTGATCCGCAGAAAAATTGTTTGCGTTTTTTATATTGCACTAAATACTATTTATATACGTCCTTTATGGAGTTAGTGGTCCCTGAGGTCCGAAAGGTTGGCGAGCCCTGCTTTACACAGAAAGCATCAACTGTTACATCATAAATTTCTAACAAAGACTAACAACCAGATATATAACAACTTAAATACTGGGATTCTTTGCCCCAATTTTTTGTAACAAATTGTTTCAAATCTGCTTCTTATGATGGCCATTTGGTTACATCTGGCACATGCTTACAGAACGATACTATATGTCAAGCGCTGGGGAAATCGGGAGATTCAGGCCCTTCAACTGAGTAGAAAGATTTATTGCAAGGTTAAGCTCTCTATAAGGATCTGGACTACTAAGGGTTGAGGAAAATTAGTGGTAGATAAGGAAGACATTCATTTATTATTTTATTTATTTGGTTTGTCAATTGCTTACAACAGGTATGAGTAAAAGCATAGTTATGAATACATGGATACGTATAAGAAAAATAAGAAAACAATAGGACAGGGACGGTAGGCACGTTGGTGCGTTTATGCTTATTCAAGGTGGGCTGGATTTAGATCTCTTGTGGGCGCAGGGATGCGAGACTTATGATGCATTTGACCCCGCCTCCCTCGGCCTCAGCCTGGTCATCTCCTACACTACAGGTAGTCTTCGACTTATAACATTTAGCAACTGATCAAAGTTACAACGACATGACCATTTTTCACAGTTACAGCCTTAGTAGCACCCCCTGATCATGTGATCAAAACCAGGTCACTAACTTATCAACTGCAGCGATTCACCTAACGGTGGCAAGAAAGGTCGTAAAATGGGGGCAAAACTCACTTTACAAATTTTCGCTTAACAACATAAATTTTGGGTTTAATTCTGGTTGTAAATCAAGGACTACCTGTATCTGGTCCAGGATTCCTTATTTCTTGCTCCGGACTCACTACACACCCCAACCTGCCTTTTTAACAGCTGTTCTCAACTGAAAAAAAAAAAAACTTGGGCATTATAACGATGAATAATTGTAATATTGATTCTGACAGACCTAAAGCTTCATTAAAAGAAAGAGCAACGTCAGTTTTCAACTGAAGTAAACAGAATTTTTTATAGACGAGCTAAGTAACCAAAAACAATTATCGGCAGAACAGAAACATAAAGAATTCCCCCATGTTTGCATTCAGTTAGTTAATTATGGATTTCCCTAATAGACACATACCGCTCTGAGCTGCTTCTATGGAAACCAGCTACCAAAATCAGCTGCCCCGAATCTCCCTTTTTATTGTAAACTGATGCACTGTTACCATTAGCTTTGAAATCAAGCAAAACAACCTCTGCTCAAATATTTCATGAAATTTGTTCCCCTCAAAAAAGATCAACGTACTGATATGAATAAGAAACACCAGTATCTATCTATCTATCTATCTATCTATCTATCTATCTATCTATCTATCTATCTACCTACCTACCTACCTACCTACCTATCTTCTATGGCTGCCCATCTATCAAAGGCACCCTAGGTGTTGGGCAGGTAAAAATGAAACAGAAACACAACCCAAAGCATCAACGGTAGCGATCTCGGGAACAAATGCACCTCAACCATATCAGAGCTCTTACGAGCACTTTGACTCCAAGGAGAAGGTCCAAAATCTTCACAGCCCTGCGAAGGTTGCTTGTATCTCAAGGGGGATATTGGATCCCCAAGA